TTGCTAAACCTTGGATATAGCAAAAACAAAATTAAATATTTTCTTTAATTTTTTATGATCTTGCTATCTTGAAACTGGTTTTTCCTGAAATTAAAGATGTTCTAAATTTGTTGCTCACCAAGAGTAAACTTGTTCTATAATTGTTTTGCATCATCTGCATACCTCGTTTCATCAGGGGTACCCCAGGGTTACACTTTGGGTCTTCTACTCTTTCTCCAAATTATAAAGGATCTGATAGATTCTCTGACCTGTGAAAGTTTGCTTCTCGCTGACAATATGTTGCGATTTCTATTCTATTTGTATAGATTTCGATTTATATTGTGATTCATTGTGTAAATTGATAGACATTATTGGAAACTTGTTGGTTAGCTGAGTATTTTTCCATTTCCATTATTGCATATCACATTTTCACTGTTTCTGTTCCATTATGTCTTATATTTTTCAATAATTAGTCTGTACAATCATTGATTCATATAATATGTATTTTTTCGAACGTATGTCGTACTAAAATTGGATTTTTGGATGTGCAACAAAGATATATCATGATCAAACACAGCCATGTTTATTTCGATTTTAAAATTGTCATATGAAAGTTACTCACTGTGAAATTTGAAATACCCACATTTCATTTAGTTGTGAAACAACTATTCGTGTAATTTAAAGTACTGCAAAACATGAAAACTCAACAATTACAACACCAAACGGTCAAAGAATGATACGTCATCAGTTGGTCTCAAAAACTAAGAAATTGCCGACGACTCTCGTTTATATAGCTATCTCCTTTCGATGTAATAAGTGCGAGGCATTGTTTAAACAAATGCTGTCCCTGATTATACACGAAAGTTAGCTGTTTCGTGTTTCTCTTCCATTTGTAGAGGAAAAAAATGATTTAAAAAAGTATTAAATGTACTTTATTGTTGTCAGGACTGTACATGAGGTGTTTCGAATCTTGGAAAACTACGCAACTGATATGGGATTTCCAAAAGGAATATAAATCCACATTTTCGGTGATTGTTATTTAATGTTCCATAAATATTAAGGCTCTCTGGCCGATCAATTTCCGTTGGCTCATTTCTGGAAGACATTAGAGGAGTTTATTGCCTGAACTCTCATTATTCGTACGGCGAATATAAATTAGTTACTTTCTAAAATGGCTTTCCTTGTGTGGAAACAATTTATCTTTTGAAGTGGTGCTTGAGTGACATTATCAAATAAATGGAAAAGTTAGTTGTATAGTAAAAGTTCACTTATATGTCTTTCAGGTATATTCTGTATTTGATGTTCTCTATTGGTTTCAGAAGTTTGATTTTTCTGATCAAGTAATCACTTTGAATTCTTTTAGAATTCTCTAATTTATTGCCCATCTGATGATAATTCTAGTTGTAGTATCCGTGACAGTTCATGATTCCAACATAAAACAAGAAGTGGAGGCTCATCCATTAAAGCTTTTTTTGATATGAATTGACCCACTTATACCTTCATTGATTATATTTCCAGTGTATCCGATTTATAGAATTTGACTTCCAAAACATAATCCTATCTCTATTTCTTTCAAGAAGTTTATCTATATGAATACTTTTTTCATCTGAGTCTGATATTATGGTATTCATGATTTATACCAATACCTTTGGTTTCATTTTTATTTGGAAAGGTGTTCGATTGTATACAGAGATTTCTCGATAACAAAGATCATTGGTATTGTTATAGAATCCCTTCAGCCCTGGACAAAATAATGTTGATATTTTCTTAATTCACTATGATCCCACAGAAAAAATTGATGTATATACCTGCGGATGCCTCAAATTCAGTTATTTTAGTTTATTTTTCATATGTGGGAACGAGATCAGTCTGATCAATTATTCACCACTCATCCAGTGTCCACGCATTGTGACTTTGATGGTGGTCCATTAACCTCATTTGGTGTTCTTTCCTCCATATATTCCGGAACTTCTGTTTTGCACGATCCTTTGTTACTCGGTTAATTTTCCAGTTTGACTTGACGCATTCTTGCTACTCACGTTATCACAAGACGTGAAGAGAGTAGATTGAAGTGTTTCTCTCACACTGGAAGAAGAAGATTGAAAGAATCCAACCTCATATACGAAATATTCTCGGACTGTCAAGCGGCGTTGAAAGCTATTGGCTCCTACCAAGCAACGTCTGAATTGGTAGCAAATTGCCAAAAACGAGACTGCTGATTCCTTTGCAAAGAAGGGTGTTGCAAGTGGCTTCATCGGAACAAAACCTGTCATTGGCATCGTTTCAGGCTTTGCCAAACAAACATTGAACACCTGGATGGCAAGAAGATTTATGGGAGCAGAATCTTCCAGGATTGGCTCACTTCAAGGGGTTCATTCACCCTTTGAAGTTTGAAACCAAACATTTGTTGGACTACAATAGGGATTAACTACGATGTCTAACAGGCCTTCTCAAAGGTCACTCACCATACAAACTAATCGGCTTTGTTAAGAAGCTGGGGTTATTGGGTCGAGTGTGAATAGGTGTCAGCCAGAATAAACCTTTACGGGTTGCGGTGGAGAGTCGAATAGCCGCACTCATTTTTGACCTAACCTAACCTTACCCCTATCTCAATGGATGGTCGATTTGGATAACCTTATGTCGAACTATTCCTGTATACATCTGGTCATGATATTCAGGATTTGCTGCTGTGTACCCTCAATATATTATCAAATTTGGCCTGGACTAGGATGACCGATGTCTACATAGTGAGTACCTATGGTTCACAATCCGTTTCATTGCTATTTCCTTCTCAATGGTCTGCATACCGAACATACACAGAGTAGTCTAGGTCTTTTTGTATCATTTTTGGGTGGATTTTTGATTCTAACGTATTTAGACGTTGAATACAAATCTACAATTTTTCCTGCCAAATGGTAAACTTCACCAGTGCCCTTGCGAGATCCTCCAATTCAGAATTCAGTATTATATATGTAATTCCTTTGAAATATGGTACTTCAGTTTGAGTTGCGGCGAAACCACATTCCTATGAAAATTTTTTGCCAAAAAAATTATCCTATCAAATTTGTCTATTTCTAGTCATGTGTGTCGAAATAACCAATGAAACCATCATTACACTGATAACTACCCATGGATAGTTTCCACGGGTAGTTATCACTTATGTCATGACATTGCTAAGCAACCAACACAATAAAGTTGTTTGACATTTCAGTAATTCAATTTATTTCGAAAATGTCACTTCCTCGCTTTGGTGTTCAAAATGATGCGGCAATTGACAAAATCATTGAAGAAAATACACCAAAAAACACTGTCAATAGTAAAAAATACACTTGGAAAATATTTATGGAGTTTTGTGACGCCAGAAAATATGAATTGGATGGAAATCGTACTCTCGAAGAGCTTGCATTAATACTCAAGGATTGGGCGATTAATATGAGAAAAAAGGATAGCAGAGTTTAAGGAGGCTACTGTTAAAACCGTATGGAATATAACAAGCAAATTATTACAAGAAAAGTATTACAAGGAGTATAATATCATGCTAGACCCCTTTAAAAGTGTTGCATTCAAACAAGCGCGGAATGCACGCGACGCAGCACGAAGAAATTTACAAACAGATACCACTAAACGCAAAACAAGCTCAGTACCATTAACTTCAAATGAAATGAGTAAAATTATAAACTTTTGGGATGAAAATACCCCTATAGGACTCCTACGCAAATTTTATCACATAGCAGCGGTGGAATTGGCTTGGAGAGGTGGTGAAGGTGCTGCTTGCTTAGTTGATTATTTTCATATCGAACAAGGACAACAATGGATCTCCAACTAATAGGATAGAATATAATCCAATTTTCAGTAAAACCTGCCAAGGGGGTTCAAAGAACTGCGCCTCTAGCAAATGGTTAGTTCAAAATAGTGATAACAATGCTTGTCCTGTCAGATTATTCATTAAATTATTATCAAAACGAGGCACAAATATCAAGACAAATAGACTATTTTTAAGGCCAAATCGTCACTGGAAGACAGGAAGCGATAACTGGTATGACAATATGCCTCTGGGTTGAAATATAATCAACGGATGGACGAAATCTTCTGCTGAAGCAATTGGCTTGGATAAGAAACAGAGGAAAATAACCAATCACTCTAATAGAGCAACTGCAGTCAGTCAACTAGCCAAGAGTGGAGTTCAAGAACAGCAATTGTTGAAAATTACTGGGCACAATAATGGAAATTCCATAAAACCTTATTTGAATATTGATCAGGAACATCATAACCAAATAATCAATAGTATGCGTGGAAACACCTATGCAGTAACCGAGGCAAATACAGCAAGATCAACGGAATATCATTATACGAATTGTTCTTTTAATAACTGTGTGTTCAATAAATAATTTTGTTCGAATTGCAAAAAATTTTCTCACCGAATATCCCTCGAATATTGATAAATAACTCATAATTTTATCACAACTTCCTCAAGCACGTTATTTTAGGTAACATCCCTCCGCCTTCGGCGTCGGGATGTTACCAAATAACGTGCTTTCGAAAACTGTGATAAAATTATTTCGTTAGTTATCAATGTCCTTGAAATATTATAGCTGATAATTTCACAGCTTTACTTTCAGTTTGAGTCAGAATCTCATCGTTATTATCAAGCCTTGAGATGCTCCCTCATCAGAAACCTATTACCGCATGAAATGATAAGATGAATGAGATAGGTACCTAAACCAACAGTTCTGATTCCACAAATCCTGGGATTAACCGTATTACGAAGACCGCTTTACTGGCTTTGCATGTATCCCGATGTAAATTTTAGATTTGATTAATGAATTGAGTGTAGAAATGTCGGTTTGGGATTAAATGACATACACAAAGCAAACCCTACTGCACCTTTCATCTCTTGGAGGAAAATATTCCATTTTTGTCAGCTATGAATTATAAATGGCGATCGCAATCGAAGCAAAAATCAGGACAGAAGCCAAATATTCAATTACGTTTTTAATGGAGAAGATATATGTACTACTCACCCCATTATTAGACAAAAACTCCATCCCCTTCGCTACTTGATACACGAAAGAAGTCAGATCTCTCGATGTTAGAGACCTGCTATGTCCGTGCATGTTATTGTAATATCTCTCCGCCCTCGAGTTCCTCAAATAGCTCTGCAGCTTTCCTTTGCTTATGAATTCCATAATGAGAAAAATAGGCTCCTTATCTGTGCAGCATCCCAGTAATCTGACGACATTGGGATGAGGTTCGAGCATTTTCATAACTTGTAGTTCCGAGATAAGATCGGACCTTTCTTTTTCGTTCGCATTTTCCTTTAGAGTTTTCACTGCGACTACCGTCACTCCGCTTTGTGTACCTGGAACAGTGGGATATTATCTTTAATGGGATTCGTTTTGCGGCATTTGGAGATGTTTTTTTTCTATTACCATGTAGATCAAGGAGATGGAAATGTTATTTGTGCGATAAATATACAGGGTGAATGTCCAGGAACTGCGACAATAGATTCTGCGGAAAGTATAAGTAGCAAAATTATGGAAATTTGGTAGAATGAGAACGATGATTTTTCTTCTATAACCGTGTAGATTGAGAAGATAGATGGAAATGTTCTTTGGGCGATATGTATACAGGGTGACTGTTCAGGAATTGCGTCAATGGATACTGCGGAAAGTATGAGTAGAAAAATTATGGAAATTTTTGGTAGAATGAGAATGAGAATAATGATTTTTTTCTATAACCGTGTAGATCAAGGAGATGGATGGAAATGTTCTTTGGGCGATAAGTATACAGGGCGACTGTCCAGAAACTGCGTCAATGGATATTGCGGAAAGTATAAGAAGAAAAATTATGGAAATTTGGTAGAATGACATTGATGATTGTTTTTATAACCGTGTAGGTCAAGGAAATAGATGGAAATGTTCTTTAAATGATAAATATTCAGGGTGACTGTCCAGGAACTGCGTCAATGGATACTGCGAAAAGTTTAAGTGGGAAAATTATGGAAATTTGGTAGAATGAAAATGGGAATAATGGTTTTTTTTTCTATAACCGTGTAGATCAAGGAGATGAATGGAAATGTTCTTTGGGCGATAAGTATACAGGGCGTCTGTCCAAAAACTGCGTCAATGGATATTGCGGAAAGTATAAGAAGAAAAATTATGGAAATTTGGTAGAATGAGATTGATGACGTTTTTTATAACCGTGTAGGTCAAGGAAATAGATGGAAATGTTCTTTGAACGATAAATATTAAGTGTGACTATCCAGGAACTGCGTCAATGGATACTGCGGAAAGTGTAAGTGGGAAAATTATGGAAATTTGGTAGAATGAGAATAATGATTTTTTTCTATAACCGTGTAGATCAAGGAGATGGATGGAAAAGTTCTTTAGGCGATAAGTATACAGGGCGACTATCCAGATACTGCGTCAATGGATATTGCGGAAAGTATAAGTAGAAAAATTATGGAAATTTGGTAGAATGAGACTGATGATTTTTTTCTATAACCGTGTAGACCAAGAAGATGGATGGGAATGTTCTTTGAACGATAAATATTCAGGGTGACTGTCCAGGCACTGCGTCAATGGATACTGTGAAAAGTTTAAGTGGGAAAATTATGGAAATTTGGTAGAATGAAAATGGGAATAATGGTTTTTTTTTCTATAACCGTGTAGATCAAGGAGATGGATGGAAATGTTCTTTGGGCGATAAGTATACAGGGCGACTGTCCAAAAACTGCGTCAATGGATATTGCGGAAAGTATAAGAAGAAAAATAATGGAAATTTGGTAGAATGAGAAATTAGAAGTGCCATTACAGTTTCTGTAATGGCACTTCTAGAAAATGGTTCATACCAAACGATAAATAGTCCGAATTAGTCATTTGTCATACATACTATTTTTCTTTCATTCAATACAATGTTTATATGAAAACAGTTTTTTCAAAAAGGTTTTTTTCAGTTTGTGTAGAAGTTGCTTTTTTGCATGATCTATACATCTATACATCTACATTTTGGATTTATTTGCTTTCTCTATTTCTCTGTAAGATATAGAATATACAGATAGAGAGAATATAATAGAATTTCCAATAGTAATTCTCATAAATGACTTAACACTTCCAGTACTTATAATTCGGTCCCTGATGTCACGCGGGTAGCTATAGCTACCCGAGTGTGCATATCAGTTGTTTTCAAGGCAAGCTAGATCTTCTGACTGAATTTACAGATGTATGATTGATTCCTGATGGTGACACCGTGCCTATGTGTTTGTTGTTCTGCAACCAGATGTTGCCAATCTTTTTACTTGACTGCGAAAATCTCACAAAAAAGAGTTACTTGATAATGTTCATTATGCAAGCTACAAAATGAGGCTGACTTGGAATGATGAGTTTCTGTACATCGAAAAACTGATGAAACTGCAAAAACTACTATAATACTCAAGCTACCTTCAGTAAAGGGACTAAAAAAATTGTTGTAAACGGACAGTTGCGACCCAGAACCGTACAATTCGAAAATTCTCACTTTTCCTTGCCTACATCTTGTGCTCCTTGATTCATATATTCATAGCTCATTTAAATTGACCAACAGAGTTTTTGTTTTGACCCCTGTAATATATCTTCCAGACTCTTATGAAATTTCACAACGAATATTGAGAAAGGATCATTTTCATGGTTCAGTTACCCATTAAATTTTTCATTTCGATATAATCGTGTACTTTCACGGTTGATTTGAGTTTCTGTTCATATTTCAGACCACTTGAACACACTCCTAGGTACACAGGTTTGAAATGAATATTGATTCGACGAACTTTTTCAGAAAAACAAAATATCATGAACAAATACGTATTTCCACTCCCTCCGCTTTTCCTGCTACATTCAGGCAGGCCTCACAGGCAAGTTTTAATCTAATGCACGAAATTGATTATATCACTCGAATACTGATGAGGTTGAGGTGGATATTCAGACTGTCCATTACACCCTTCAGGTACTAAGTATTCTGCTTTATGGTTCACATTGAGAGTTTCGATTTTAGATGGAAGCATTATTTTGAAGAGCTGTTTGGAACGCTATAAGGAAGAGAAGACATAATATGGATCTATTATATCCAGGCTGATTGAAGACAACAAAATAGGAAGTGTCATTTGAAAAATTGATAATGAACGAATCAAAACTTGAAATATGAAAGAGTGTGTATGATGAGAAAAGCAATAACAGAAGAAAAAACAAAATATATAATGATCCATTTCCTAAGATTTCTGAATGTTTTCACAACCAGTATAGCGTCAATTCAATTTGTTGTACTAGTATTTTCACTTCTGATGTGAATTCATGTTTGCAGAGTATATTCTAACTCCCGTTTCAAGTTCGATTTTCTCCTCATCTTTATACCAGGTGTTTCTGCCAAGCATGTTCTAGGCAAGACTGGATTGACAGTTTGAAAGAGAGAAAGTTGCGATAGAATCATAAGAAAATGGATAAAGTGATATATACGATGGATACAAGTACGTATGTTATTGGTACGTTGAATAAAAACATTCAGCATCATTATAAGTTACCTTGAGCATTTATTTCCATCATGATTGCCCTCCACACCATACAAATCGAATGGATATACCTAGAAAATCAATGCAAGCGGCCTGACAAACCGATGCGATACGCATTATGAAGAAAGGTTGTAATTGCGTTAGTATTATTCTATGTATTGGATCACTTTGAAGGTGAAGGTCGCATTTCCATTTTGTGTTGTCTTCAGGAAGATATATACGTTGAACGAAAAAATCTTATCACCTTCGTTCAGTCTGGATTTCGCCCTCTATATAGCACTACTACGGCTCTGAGTCTCATCACTGACGACATATACAAATTACTTGATGAAGGAAATTTTACATTTCTCCTAATGCTTGATTACAGTAAAGCATTCGATACCTTGGATCCTTCTTTATTGTCCATAAAACTCAAGTGTTTTGGTTTTACCGATAATGCAGTGTCACTTATGAATAGCTATCTCTCCGGAAGGACCCAATCAACTTATCTTGATGGTAACCAATCAACAATAATATCAAAAAAATTTGGTGTACCGCAAGGTTCAGTCCTGGGACCGCTCCTTTTTGCAATTCATAGCAGTGACTTCCATGAATTTGTTAGTTTTGGCAAAATACATCACTACGCCGATGATACCCAATTGTATAGTTCATTCAGCTTTGAAGATATTACACCTGCTAATGAAAATATCAACAGAAACCTCAAAACTCCATATGATGTATCCTGTGCACATGATCTTACTATCAATTCAAAGAAATCCCAGGTCATATTATTTGGTCCCAAAAGTAAAAGAAATATTGTGTGTGAGTCATTGTCGATCCGTGTCAACAATAACATAATACCTTCTGTGAATGAATGTAAAAATCTGGGCTTGTGGTTAGATACAGACATGAGATTCACGAAGCATGTAAGTCATCTGTGTAAAACGTCAATCAATGTATTAAGACAACTTTATCCAAGTAGACACCTTTTATCAAAAAGTCTGAAGTTGAATCTCTGTGAAACACTTATTTTTTCAAGATTAGCCTACTGCGATTGTATCTACGGACCCGCCTCACAACAATTAGATGTGATACGACTCCAGCGAATACAAAATAGTTGTGTCAGATTTTCCTACGGTATCCGAAAGTATGATCACATAAGTGCGTCCTTTCGAGATTCTGGCTGGCTTTCACTCAAATATCTAAGAGCAATCCATTTGCTTAGTTTCACGCATATAATTCTTGTTTCGGGATATCCGCCTTACTTACGTGAAAGACTAGTTGCACTATCACACAGTGGCACTTCTCGTAATAGGCATACTTTGCTCATTCCCAGGCATTCCATAGCAATATTTAGTACATGTAGTTTCTCCTACAATGTGACAAAGTTGTATAACACCATCCCTACAGACTTTAAAGAAAGTTCATTGAGAAACTTTAAGAAAAGGTTGAAAGACATGTATTATACACGACAGTGATAGGGCTAGACATATGCAAATGATTTTGGCAATTTCCCACATATCCGAATATAATACAAAATAATAAAAATACATACCAATCGAGGTTGGGTTTGAAAGCAGCTCTCATAGCTGAACACCGCCTATTCATCATTTCTTTGAATTGTATTTAATTTGTACTCATTATTGTGATGAATAAAGACATATTATTTTTTTTTTTTTTTTTTTTTCACCGTAGTGTGCGCTGGTCAGGCCCTATCCCCCGAAGCCCCGATACATTCGGGAGGGCGCCAGCATTATCAACCAATGAACACTCCCCACACCGTGGGGTAAGTGGTCATTGGGTCCGAGGATCATGTGCCCTGAGCAAACGCAGTGAGCCAAGAATAACAGCCTTCTGCATCTGTGCGGCTAAGATTTCTGCCTTAGTGCGGCAAGCCGGTATGATTTTGAGATTCGAGAGTAGAGAGGACATCATTTCACCAAGGACTCCAATAATCAGAACAACCATCTTGACAGAGTGATCTGGATAGAGTCTGCGGAGTTTGAAGAGAAAATCTCGATATTTTATCCGTTTTTCCTCCTCTTTTCTGACGATATTCGTCTCGCCAGGAGCTGAAAACTCCACGACAAATATCGTTTTGCTCTGGTGATCGAGAAGGCCTATATCAGGCTCATTAGCTTGTATGAGCCTGAGGGTGGGAAACGAATAGTTTCAATAAATTCGGCACTTCTCGTTTCCCACAACGGATTCAATATCCCCCGGAGCGTAGGGCAACACCGGTGTCTTGTCAATACCGTAAGAGTGCCGTAGATGGTAATATAGCACTCTTAAGGCTGCGTTATGTCGATGGATATAGGCCGAGACCGCATATGCTGGACATGCTGATAGCAAGTGCATTAGAGTCTCGGGCGCCTCGCGGCAGGCCCTGCACCTTGTGTCAGGAACCTCTATACCCATCACGCGACTGCGGTAGACTAAGGTGTTGAAGACACCATCCTGGCAAGCAATGATGATCCCTTCAGTTTCCGACTTCAGCCCACTCGACCTGAGAAAAGCGAAGGTCAGGCGCTTTGAAAAGCCAAGGTCTCCAATGTTATTGAAAAAGACCCCATGCAGTGGCTTATCCTTGTATCTCTGCAGAAGTAAGGTGATATCTGCGGTTTTTATCTGAGCTTTTTGCTGAACGGGTTCCAATTTGGTGACAGAGTTGTGGTCACCCCGTTCAGAGTCAAAAACTATACCGAGTTCATCAGCTGCTCGGGCAGCTGCCCTAAGGAGACATGCTTCAATTCCTGCTCTCTCATGGTCATAGACCATGCAGAGAAGGGGATCCGAACTCCTAACGACTTTACAGGCTGTATCCAGTACCATTCTGTCATGTAGACACTCCAAACTCAAAAGTCCACGACCTCCCTGTTGTCGGGGGAAGTACAACCGTGGAACGGACGATTTGAGATGCAAACTCCTATAGAGATGCATCATTTTTCGGGTCTTTACGTCGAGTTGATACAGCTCCTCCCGAGTCCACTTCACTACTCCAAACGAGTAGAGTAAGATTGGAACGGCAAGCATATTTGTTGCAGTAACTTTGTTCTTTCTCGACAGTTCCGATGACCAGATCTGTCGAAGTTTGTGCTGATACTTGCCGCGGAGAGAGTTTTTCACTGCTGTTACCTCTTGTGAGTGGCGTTGTTCCACCCCGAGGTAAGTATACGTCTCTCCGGCATCCTGATGGTGTAGTATGCTTCCATCTACGAGCTGCACATCCTCTCCGTAGTCCCCGCATCGTCCTCTTTTGAGATGCACCATTGCACATTTGTCTATCCCGAATTTCATACCGATAGCAGGCGTGTATTCTTCCACCACCCTCAAGGACTGATGGAGATCCTTCTCTCCAGAGGCATAAAGTTTAAGATCATCCATATAAAACAGATGGGTGACCTTGTTCCTCCGGTTTCCGGGGGTGCCACATTTATACCCTCGAGTATTTCTGAGCGCAACGGATAATGGCAATAGTGAGATGCAGAAGAGGAGGGGACTGAGGAAATCACCCTGAAATACACCCCTTCTGAAAGTGACCCACCCTGTTTGGACTCTTGCTTGACCAGATGTTATGGTGAAGCGAGTTCGCCAAAGTGGTATCAGTTGTTCAATGTATATCATTATGTTATCGGGTACCGTAAGGCATCTGAGCAAATGCAAGATGAGCTCATGCGAAATTGTATCAAATGCCTTACAGTAATCTATTATTAATATTATTATCATTATTATTATCTAACTTTGCTTGAAACCCATGCTAAGCCTGGTCGGTTCGCTAGTTGATGATGAGAAAGCAGAAATGATTGTATGAAAGGGGAAAACGTGGAAGAGAAGAAAGTATTTTTTCTGGAAAATATTTCAGCAAAGTTGGATGAAGAGCACGTAAGACAAAGAACATTTACCTTCTAGATCCAAAGCTTCACATTTCCAAACTTGTCCAAATGCTCCTTCTCCTAAAATGTTAAAAAACTTCAAGCGATGTCTAGGATATTCCCAGTGGTCGGGTTTTTTTATGGTTCCTGATAATTGATGGTCGATCTGTGAAGTGGAAACAATATTAAGTATGACTTTCATCATTATGGTATATGCATTTCAGATTTGACAAGATAATTTTCATTGACTATCTTAAAAAAAGTAAAACAATCAACGGCAAGTATTATGCGAACTTTGTGCAACGTTCGAGTGAAAAAATCAAGCAAATACGGCCGCAGTTGGCCACAAATCCATTATCGCAATGACGAAAATCAACGAATTGAAGTTTGAATTGCTACCCCATGCTTTCTACTCGCCAGACTCAGCTCCCTTGGATTATTTTCTGTTTCAAAATTTGACAAAAAGGCTCAGTGGTCAATGATTTTTCAACGATGAGGAACTAATGTCGGCAGTTGATGCCTATTTTGTGGAGCAAGACAATTCGTAATAAAAACGATATTGAACTTATTGAACACTTTTTCCAAAATGTTTGTGCTTTCTCTGCCGCGCTGGATACTTCTGGGAAGAACTCCCTCTGCTAATCCTCCATACTGAAACCTCATATATCCCTCCCTATGATTACTGAAAAATTACTTCTCAAAAATATGAATAACTCTTTAGAACGAATTGAATTCTGTTTCAAGTTTATGAGATTCACTTCGAAAGATGATTCGATGTTCAACTTGAAACTTGTTTGTATTTTATATAACCAATCAACTGATGATACCAACATTATTAGTGAAGATTGACATAATGATACTTCGAGGAAATTTGGTTCAAGATGATAGGAGACTTTTCAATTTCATTATTTCAACATACCTCTATACACTACCTAGTATTGTACTCACTTCATCTACAAGAACATTTTCCCCTTCATTTTTTATGAAGTTTATGCAACTTTCGTTTCGTTCTTAGAATTTCCCCATGAATATCTTTAAATTACCACTGCTTCTGAAGGTTTTCTTTCAACCAATAAATCTGAGTCAGCCATATGGATGTTTGCATTTTTTCAATTTCTCTCATTTTCCATTTCGTCTTCTCCAATTCATACTTGTTTAACATATTATACAATTTATACTTGCTTTGCATATCTTTTATTCTCTTCTAATCTCTATAAATTACTTTTTTGATTTATTTTCTTTCTTCCCTGTTCATTTCTTCATTTTGTTTCACCTTTGCTTGGTTTCATCTCCATTTGGGTTCCTGATATTGATTTCTTTCAAACATTCCCCTGTATCATTCCTCCACACTATAATGTTAACTGTATCTTTGTCCCATTAATTGTAACTAATTTCCATCATTCTCATTTTCTGTTCGATTCAACGGTATATCCTTTCATTAGTTATCAATGATTGTCTTCTGTTAGTAACTAATAGATTAAGAACTATATCCTTCCATTTGGAAGTAATATTTTTTGTTGCGTATCACTATGTTCATCGTCTGCCAATAGGCAGAATTGTAGCTGATTTTCAAATAAGTATAAATGAGCATCAATGAGTTTATTCTTCGAATCAATCACACATTGTATAATACAAGAATATTTCTCTTAGTATTTGTGTATATTGGATTTTGTCACTTTTCGAGTCTACTCTTTCCAACTAAGAAACATTTCCACAGCAATCCTTTCATGTATCTTCAAAGCTGTGACGGAAATCTACCCCTTACTCAATTTGGAAAGAGAGAATTTCTAATCATAGGACTTCAGTTTTCGTTATTCCAGATTGAATAGAAACAGCCAAATAGAACTTTTACAAATCTTTCCAGTAATTTCAAGTTCCTCTCTCCATTTTACCCTGTGACTTCAAAGTTCCTTCAGACTTTCAGCACCTTAACTTCAAGGAATAAGATATCGACCCACTTGGAATGAGAATTTATGGCAAAAGTTGAAGAAACATCTCTTCGGATCTCGAATAATTACCAGATATGTCAAATTCTATAGTCTGAGCTTCAGTTGAAATTTTCAACAACTTAAGTTTGATAAATGATACATAATTGATCACGACTTCATGAAATTTTCACACATAAATGTGTGAGAACCAATAGTTTTCTCACTGATCAACTACAAATCAATCATTCAGACGTCGAGTAGAAAAGGGATCATCGTGATCAGTTGCAGATGAACAAACTACATCCTTAGAGGAAGACTAATATACACATGGTGGAATTGAAAGTGATCCAGCTGAAAATCTGTCTTTGGAAAGGTGTTCTGACCCCATATTTATGGAGTATTATGATGGCCTCTGGAATTGGGAAGTGTGAAAATACAGTTCTCTGGAGAATGAATGTCTAGGAATCATAGGCCTGAAACTAGCACCAAGAAGGAACTGAAAGAGAGGAGGAGTCTGACGCAATCAGGAAAGAACTATTCGGGAATGTGAAAATATGGAGACCAACAATGAGGAATTTACTAGTAGCAGCTTTGGGGTCATTTTTTATCCATATGGAGAGACTAGATCGATTCATGCTGGAAATTTCATCAATTTGCAAACATGTCCACAAACCATACTATGATACGTATTATGCAACACAAATTAGGCGCTCGAAATCATAAACTCTCAACAGTGAATCCCAGAAACATGATTGGTAAAAATACCTGATACATACACTGGTAGAAAACAGAATATGGGATTAAAATTGGAGTATACTACTATGTACTCGATTTAGCTCTTTTTGGTGACATTTTTCAGCCCTGTCCAAAAATTACGACCAAGGTGTCATTCAATTCGTACTTTTGCCTAGAAAGTTTGAGGAGAGGTCCGAAAAAAAATTACGAAAGTTATAAACAATTGAGTGAAAAAAAAATGAGGCTTTAGTTTTTTCTTAATATCTCGGAAAATTTTCAAAATTTTGGAAATTTGAAAAAAGATTTGAAAAGATCAATGAATTTGCGTAAAAAAAAGTCCTTTCTAGGCAAAAATACGAATCGAATGACACCTTGATCGTAATTTTAAGACAGGGCTAAAAAATGTTACAGAAAAAAGTACATGTGAACTAGACTATACCGACAAACTGGACGGATATATTTTCATTTCATAAAAAAAAATTCCATTCATTTTCTAATGAAGAATTGTTCATTGACAGGAGTTTTCGATTATTGTTTGCTGTGCCTATAAAATGGCTGATGAAAACTTACCGGGGTGTGATTGTCAGTCTGCCAAGGCTCATATCGATTGTTATAGGCTCTAGGACCTCTCCATTCATGAAGATTGAGTCCAGAGTCCTCTTGGAGTACCACGCCACCGGAGGACTCTTTTCTCTGGAAATAAAAAAGTTAAAAACCATTTCTTGTATATGTGATCGAATTGGCCGATACTTGGTGAAAATCCATAACATATTCAAGTGAAAATTCATTGTGAGATTCTCACCTAACAGTTTACAAAAATGAAATACGTGTTTAACTATACAGCCATCATTATCACTAAAAGTTTCGTTCGACCACGGCATAGCAGCCTAGCTTTTTCGTGACTCCGGCCACAAAAGTCTCTGTTCTTAGATATCCAATGATTACAGAACATAAATGTTGGTTTCTACGAACAAAAACTTTGTTACTGAATTAAATTTTCAACTTTACAAAAAATTCAACGGCGCCGTATGGAATAATTTCGATATCACCGGAAGACTTTTTTATTCTCAGAAGCGTCGGACTACTATTACTCAATTTCTAGGGAATTATTAACACTCACCATGTCATCTTTAGTGTCACTTGGTTGTCCCAAACATATCTTCTTCCTGAAAATCACAGCAAAAATGCCAATGGCCAGAAAAACGGCAATGACCGATATCACAGGAATCACAGTGGCAGTGACTTCGTTTGGTTTGACAGACTGTGTTTGGGTAGCCAATTGATTCGTAGTCTCAGTGAGCTCCTCAGTGGATTTCTCGGTAGCCGCTCTAGTTGAGGCCTCAGTCTTCTTAGTAGTGCTGCTGATAACATCGGGCTTCTTCACCTGCACAGGCTTCAGAAGAGTGGTGTCTTTTGGTGGTACATGCAAAGGAAAATCTTCAGGTGGAACATTTGATTGAGGGGTAAAAGAGTTGTGCTGCTGTTTAGGGATGAATGAAGGATAATTGTTTCTAGGCTGGTTGAAGGGATTCGGCTGTGTCGACCTGGAGGGAAATCCAGGAAAATTTGAAAGACCACCATTGTTGAACAACGGAGGGGGACGTTCTGGTTGTGAAGGGTTGTAGCGTTCTTTGGCACCGTAGATGTATGCGTTGACTTCCGTTTTGGAGGAGAGTTTGCCGTCAAATATGGTAACCCACAAATGTAGTACCTGTCCAGCCTGGAATTCAAACATTTGAACACGAATGATTTTGATTAATACTTCAAGTTTGAACAAAGACTTTCACGACCTAACGATTGAAGGGAGTGAAATTCATGCTTATGGTTCATGGACGAATGAAACCTGATGTACTGAACGTTTGATCTGCTACTGCGGCAGTCATCATCTATGGTATGTGCGTTGACTTTGAGATGTAACCTTCGTCCTCGCTGTCAGTGCACTTACCACTGATGATGTGGCAGACGAAACGTTTGATACTTCGGGCTCCATTAGAAACGTGGCCTACCAACCTGAATTTCTTTCTTTGTCACTTCAAGATTGATATGGTTATCATAGAATTATCAAGAGAGATGTTGATAGAGATAGATCGAGACAAGGAATTGAAATCTTTCACTTCATGGTCTACATTTTCTATATTGAAGACTATATTGTAGTCTTCAATAGACATTTTCATATATTACTCTAGGGTAGTACAGGAATCATCACAAACTTAGCAATTCATTCTGGAAGCTCCAGATTTAACATAATTATCTACAAAGGTATGAATAAGGAATTAATGATTGAGTAAAATTTTTTTTTTTTAATTTTAGATCGCTTCAATTTTCAACAAAGCGAGGGCATGTGAGTATGATGAGCTATACCAGCTTACGAAGCCAAAAAAATCACGGTTATTCATTGTGGTGTAACTTTTAAACTTCTACAGAAAATATGAAGATTGTTGAGTATCAGGCTAGTTATTTATGTTTTTTTGAATACACTAACGATAAGACATACAAACAATGGATTTGGAAAAATGTCAGAAGGAATTGCGAAAGTTTTCGAAAGAATCATACCCACAAGAATTCAGAGCATTGTTTCCGCAGAATATCTGCTATATCGTTAGTTGACTCCGGGGCAGATACAATCACGTTTGAATCTGACGACATGGAGTTTGTAGATCATCAACGAAAGCCGAAAGTTTCATTGAAGACTCTATAGCTGCAAAAACAAATATTACCGAAATACTTTTCTTGGATCCCAAAAAACAAGATACCATCGGTTGTAGCAGTACTCCACAAATAAATAATCACTATGATTTACCATTGCCAGAACCAACGAATGGATCGATTGCCAAACAAAGTTTGAAAGCTTCTAGAATTAAACATGAAAAGATATAAGCCTTGTAACAAAACTTTGAGTTTCGGAAAATATATCTGCCCTAGTATTAGTTTAGGTTAGGTTAGCTCTAGAGTGAGTAGGTCTATTCGACCCTCCACCGCAACCCGCAAGGTTTTATTGTGGCCCACACCTATTCACACTTGACCCAGCTTCTTAACGAAGCCGATTAGTTTGTATGGTGAGTGGTCTTACAGGTCAGATGAGAAGAGTACGGCTCTGCCGAACTCTAAAAACCTGATTCGGTCCCCAGCAGGGTGAATAAACGCCTTGAAGTGAGCCAACCCTGGAAAATTCCGCCACAAGTCCATGAATCTTCATACCATCCAGGTGTTCAATGTTCGTTTGGCAAAGCCTAAGGCGATGAAAAATCAAATTTCAAGCTCAGCTCAGATCATTCTGCTATAATGTCTGATTGGAACATAGAGTTTTTGTTTTTTTGTGACCGCGTAGAACACATGACTCTTGGATCTATTGAATATTGATACCAATACGTCCTTCAAGACTATCGAAGTCATCTGTAAACCTTCTTGATAGAACGGAAATGAAAGATTGTTTGATCGACTCGAAAAACTTTCGAGGAAAACAAATTCTACAAATGAAAACTGGAAATGAAGAAATATAGGCTGCAGTTTCTATTGATATCTATAGATGACCAAAATTATCAGGAGTACCCCTGACTTCATCCCCTGATTTCATCAGTAATGTCTACTGATATATCAAGAAACTATTGATGACCAAAGTTGTTTCATCTCTTCGAAAACATGTTTTTTGTGTATTGTCAATAAACTCGATAGTTCAAAAACGATTTGATATTATTGAGTTTTCATTCAAATATATCGGGAAAGAATTTAAATTTCGAAAATCACTCGGAATAAATTTTTGTTGAAGCTGATGAGTGTGTGAAAAAGTAGACTCGTTTTTTTCTTGGGTGTATGCTTCAATATGATTCAGAGATGAGAAAAAAGATGAATTGGAATATTCTTCTACTCAATTACAAAACATGACCTCTAAATGACTTCTAAGACTGTGGCCATTACGATCTAGAACAACATTAATTTAACTACTACTTGATGTCTCATGATGCACATAATTTCTTCCATAATTTGGCTCATCTATCTGGAAGTTTCCACAAAATTCCAACTCACCTTTCCTTGTAAAGACTCCTCCAAATAAACTGTTCCTGTTTCGCTGTCAATACTGAAGGGCAATTTCGTGTTAGGTCCTATGCTTCCGTCACCTACATCTTTCAATTCCAAACCGAACGTGATGGGATCTCCATCTTCATCCTGCCCACGGGCTTGAGCAACCCTTCTTCCGATAGTTTCGTTTTCTCTAATATACCAGTTTCTATCGATGAGTACCAAAGGGGGAGTATTGTCAGACAGTTGGCATCGTGCTGAAAAAATAAAGGAGACCTATTCATTATTTACTTCTATATCATAATTGAAGAATTGTAATTCAAAGTTATTCATGGGATTATATTGCCCAACCAAAATTGAATTTCGACGAAAATTTGAAAAAGAAAGTATGTACTATCCCAAACGCTGAACTCTACTCAAGCGCAGGAACCGGAGGAGCACGTATTCTTTCTGCACGGTCTTGACCGATGAATCGTCGTATCTTAGCCAGCAGTTGTAGCTGACGTGGTAATGTCCATTATTGACATCTTTGCTGTCGTGGTAAACAACGGCGATTAGTCTGAACTGCTTCTCTGTTGGAGACTATGTTTTCGATGGTACGAATGTCGAATCAATTCTCAAGTCGAATCCAAACACCAAAACCTTGATTATCTTCGTGCAACCATCGTGGATGTATTCAAAAAATTACCGATACGATTTGAGGATAACAGTAAGTTTCAGAGCATTATCTTTCCAGGCTTCAACCTTCTCGTTAGTTTCCGACAAAATCAGCTTCTCTGAACTGTTCTTGAAGACGAGTACCTTGAGCGCTTCTCTGACAGTCTACTAGCTAGAAATTCTTGGTGATGTTGCTTATTGGAGTACTGGTGAAGTTGATCCTTCTGGTTGGATTTTCTTCATTTCTCGATTACATTATGTTCCATTCAGTACTTGATTAACTGTTCGAAGCAGTCAACGAGAGGTTTATCATATTGTGTAGTATCCAACCAACATCTCCAGCTCTAAAATTCCATCCATTCAAAAGAAAATCTAGAAGCTCTTTCGCTCTTGGTATCTCCCTTGATCCAGATGGTCCGCATATTATGCAACATTTCATAAATCCACGTTGGATTGGAAGGGAAGCCAGTGCTGATCATAACTGCTTGGTCATTCTTGGCATTTTTATCCACTCTCCTGTCTTTGGTCCTAATGTAAGGAGGTAAGTAATCAAACTGCTCCACAAAACGACACATTCCAAATATTACCGGGGTATATTTCATTCCCTAGTTCGAGGAGATGTTTTTGCTCAGACTATTCAGTAAGTTTTTGAGGAATAGACATGTGATCAGGGCTTGCAAACTGGAGTTAATGCAGCAGTGATTGCTTAGATGAGCAGACCGCTTGGCGGCAAAATCACTGCCCTACTGTCGATCGTGTATGTAGATAGAAACTCACTCATCCTATAACAGTCTGGAACTACAAACTGGTCGGACCTTCTGGAGTGCTCGAAGAGGCATATGAGTAGATGGTTGTTGAACTCTTTTTGGGCGCTCTTCTTGGGCGACTTCGTCGAAACTGTTGACGGCTTGAGACAAAACATAGGCGTTGTCGGATTCGAAAACACATGCTAACGATTTTGCGACAGGGGTAGGGCTCAATACTCCAACTCCGTTGGAAATTAGTTCTTTCACGGACTGTACGGGTTCAGCTAAAGGACTCAGTTCAGCCTCATTTCGAGTACCCTCCTCCTGTTCCGTCAAAGTTTGACAATGTTTATGCAGGTCTTCTACCACATTGCCCCTCTCTGGTAATTTATTGCAAGAATATTCAACAGAATTCAGCTGTGTGAGAAAAAAAGCAACTATTGAGTGGTCCAAGAGGGAAAGAAAATAATCCAGTATTTATGAGATCTTAATTTCTGTAAATACAGGGTATAACTGAATAAGTGTAAAACATTCAAGGAGGTGATTCCTCATCGGAAGAAAGATAGGATTTTTTATATAAAGAAATTTTATTGGAGCATCCCTTGTTGAGATACAGCCCCTTAAAGGGGGGAACATAAAATTTGTATAACAATTTTTTTCACAAGTACTAAAAAAGTTACAATATTGAAATTGACCTGACGTTTTGTACTACCAAAAAGACACTTAGCCAGAAATTCATTTGGTTCACCCCATGGTTGTAAGGGGTGGAAAACGCAACCCCTAAAATTCATTCCCAAGGTAACTTTTTGTCTCATCATTTGTTTACCATTTAAAAATTCATTTCCGATAGCCTGTTTAATTCTGAACAAAAAAACTCTCCTGGGTTTTTTGCCCAAAATAAACCAGTTCGCAGCAAAAATTATTTTAGGAACAACTACAGAGATACATCGTCATAAATGAGAAAATACGAAACTAATCTATCTAGTAGGTCGCTATTAGCGATAGTGGCAATTAAATTGGTATGACGCTGACAGTTTGTGAATTTTCGAAATTGAATTAATGCTAATTGTGTGTTGTTGTTCTGTTCTCAATTTGTTACTTTAATAATTCACTTGTTATTAAAATGACATACACAAATGAGGAAATGGCTGATAGACATATTAACATTTACTATGATTTCTACATGTTGTGTGTTTTGTTATAATTGAATTAGTTTTGTTTATTACCCTTTAATCGTTCAATGCAGTTACTAACTACAAAATAACAATAAATCCAGTTCGCATTTATGACGATGCCGATGTATCTCTGTAGTTGTTTGTAAAATAATTTTTTGACGCGAACTGGTTCATTTTGGGCAAAAAACCCAAAAGACATTTTTTGTTCAGAATGAAACAGGCTATCAGAAATGAATTTTCAAATGGTGAACAAATAATAAGACAAAAAGTTACATTGGAAATAAATTTTAGGGGTTGCGTTTTCCACCCCTTACAACCAAGAGGTGAACCAAATAATTTACTGGCTAAGTGTTTTTTTGGTAGTACAAAACATCAGGTTAATTTCAATATTGTAACTTTTTCAGTGCCTGTGAAAAAAATTGTTATACACATTTTATGTACCACCTGTATCTCAACAAAGGATGCTCCAATGAAGTATCTTTATATGAAAGATCCTATCTTTTTTTCGATGAGGAATCACCTCCTTGAATGTTTTACACTTATTCAGTTACACCCTGTATAGTTGATTATTGAACCCGCGTATTTTAGTACCTGTGTGACAATTAACATGCATAATTGAATTGAAATAGATGAGATTGGTTAACAATGGGGTACTTTGTAGGGTTTTCAAAATGGTTATCAAGATTATACAGAAAGAACTGAATTGATCAATAATTATATGAAACGATAAGGAAAGCTCAATCTACGTAGGTGTATGATACTTCACGGTGAAAGAAATATAATTGATTTTGCGTCAAACGCAGTCTGAAGTGGGTGATTAGTACGAACTAATTGCAAGACGCATTAGAATAACGCAGCTTCATGTTGTAGATAACTTCAATAATTGATAATTGCTCCTTCAGAGATGATGGTGCGCATCAGACACGACAATATCAAAAATGCATTTTGTTGATAGGAGTTTCGTGACTATCAGGTCGTGACAAGGATATGATAAAGTTATATCCGACAATAATTGGCGATTCATACTCCAATAACCAAGCTCATACAATGACTATGGAAGGCTTTTGAAATGCAGACTCCTCTTAAATTTACTACAATTACTGAAATTTGTTATTTTCAATGATTCTATCAGAATCGTTTCGGTGTATTTTTTGGTATGAGCTGAAAAGTGAGGTATAACCAATAGTACAGAATCACTGTACTATTGGTTTTCAATATATCAGCTGGAACTCAAAAGAAAATAATCTTAAACTTTATTTGAAAAATATATCACATGTTTCGCTAGCACAGTAGCTTTGTCACGTGATTTAAATACGATCACCTGAAGTATGTTACCTCACATCTACATGAATAATAATTCTTTCTCGGATTTTGAGAAAAAAGTTCAATAATGGCGATCTATTTAAATCCACTTGGTCATTCATTTTGAGTTTATTGATTTCCATTGCTTCCAAATGATTCAGTTTCAAACCTTTATTTTCTATGTGCAAAATTTCGATCACTTCGGTAAATATATGATTTTCTTCTAGAATATGATTTGAATATGTTGAATTTGTTTTCTCATTTACTTAGCTCCTATGATGTTACTGGATTCGATTCCTAAATGTTCTGCCAGTTTGACCAATATATACCTCAGGGCACGTTCCACAGTTTAATTTCTCGAATTTGGATGTCTTGTATTTATTATTTTTAACTAACTTACAAAATCAATAGTGACAAAATGGTTTAGACTTTCGCGGCTGAGGTTTTCAGTGTCATTGTTTTTCGGGTTTGAAAGCCGTGGATTTTTGGAATTTCTTCCTTTCAATTTCGGCTTTCAAACCCGAAAAACAGTGACACTGAAAATCACTATTATTAAACATATGAATTTTGTTAATCACTATTATTAAACATATGAGGAACTATTTATATAAATGTATACAACACGTGATAGAAATCGATGGTGAATGAACTAAAGAAAGAGCAGATTGCATGCTCTTTCTTCAATTGTTGACGACCTATCATATAAAGTTTATTTCGTCAGATACCAGTTAATGCTACCAGGATATGATAATTGAGGAGTGCGCAGCAAAATTGAGAGTGAGACCGATGGTGTTTTCAATGCCGGACCTGCCCGAAGCATGATAATGAATGAATACGGTCGATGGGTCTACAACAGACACTTTCACTGAACATGTTTGGTATTTCGGAGGTGTATTTCTCAATGACAACGGAATGTGAGTCGTTGTTGTTGGCATCAGGAGTTCCTACATGAAATACAAAACCTGTAGGCATATACAGGCTGATTCACGGTGGATGGCACATTAGACGTTTCTGGTGAACCAGATTTGAGAATTTAATGGAGGGCATATTCGGACATTCTCTAGCCAACTAAAATATTTTCGACAATGCGGTGTTGCCGCTTCTATTAGAAAGCAGTAGCAACTTTGATTTTTCAAATGGAGGACTCTGTATATAATATTATTTTTGGAATCTCCAACAATTGCCCCACAACTTTTCTTGATATTTCCCTATACCTATCTGTTACCGTTTTGGAAATAAAAATTAATTTCAATTTTTTTCTTCGAAAATCATGACTTCTAAAAATGCCGATATCTTTTAGTTAAGAAGTACTATGATATCGAAATTTGGTTTGGAGTTAGGTGATACTTGGACACTTCCCACACGTCAGCCTAATCT